TTGGGAGAAGACATCAATCTTTTAGTCGTGTCACATGTGATATCAAGAATCCAAATAATGACAATGTTTTCAAAGTAAATGGATATCATTTAAAAAATACTTTGATAATTTTTCAGTTGAAAATGACTATTGAATTAGTTAATCTTGTATATAAAGATTGATTCTTTTTCTTACATTGTTTTTGTGTTTTTTTTTGTGACTTTTGTTTTACTAGTCTTTCTCGCCCCGGTTAAATGACAGATAACGGTACTCCATGACTCTTAAGTTGGTTCTTTCAGTGTCCCATAATAATTGATATCTGTATATATATATTTGTGCAATTCTTTGCTCCTGCTCCTTTCTTTGAATCTCTTCTCCAATTCTTATTTGAAAATAGACACCACTCTTGAAAAATTGAAAAAGTATTTTCCCACTTTACTTTAGAATGCGATTGCAAAAATTTAGCGTGCTAGATATACAAAATTGAGGTTGTTAATGAATCATGGAATTCTTGAAGATATTCATTGATTGGTTGAATTAAAGGTATGATTTTTGTTAAAGTAACTCTTAGACACATTTTAGTAAACATTCTTAACAAGATCTATTAAAATACTTCTTGAAATATTCAAGTTTACAAACCCTCGCATTGTTATCACTTGATTCTGCTCATATACTTATTTCACAAGTATTCTTAAACCTCCATTTTTACACACACATATTAACATATCATTGTACATAATTTGCACATTTGATTATTATATTATTTATGTTTTTTTTTTAAGGTAACAATTAAGGGAAAGGGATAGTATATAATTTGTAAAAAAAAATTGATGATAATAAAAACATAGTTAAGTTTGGTTTCGTAGCCTCCCTAACCTAAGCAATTAAGCCCAAGAGGGTGTTTTAACACCTAATACCCTAAAGTCAACTGATTTGAGAGCTATTGGTCTAACACTTGTTACATGGGTTAAGGAGAAAAGTTTAAGAAAATCAAACATTACACTATCTATATATTAGTATCTGCGACCCGAGTTACTAAACTCGTAGGGGTGTCTCAACATCTAATTCTCTAAGACCAACTGGTCTAGGAGTTACTAGCCGAAAGCTCATTACATGGATTAAAGATGCATTGTGTTTTAAGTTATATGTATATATATTAAAAAAGAAAAAAAAAGAATAATAATCTCAACCCAAGGAAGTTAACCTTAAACATTAGAACAAAACTTTTGTTTTCTTTCAAGTAGAGCCTCATAACTATGTGTTGATTTATTAAGCACGAAAGGAAGATTTATTAATATCTTGTTTAAAAAGTATGAAGCAGATATATAAATTTAATAAGAGTTTGTTTACTTGGATAGATTAATAGAAGTTGAATAATAAATGTCTTGCTTTATGGAACTTGCAAATTATTTTTCTATTTTAACGATTTAATCACTAGGGACTACTTATAAGCTGGTTAGGGGGGTGATTAGCACTTAAAAGTGTATTTTTATCAAGATTTTATATTATCATTTTGCACTTTAAGTATCAATAATTTTTTAACTATAATATATTTTATAATAACAAGTCTGATACTATAATATACCTTTAATTTATTGTAAATATTCATCTTAAATGCAGGCCTATCACATATATCAAAGGATTGATTGATGAATTTAACTATTGAAATTGAGAAGATAAAGAGAGGGTTAAGCTTAGAAAAGAGATACTGATTTAGTTCAAACTAAAACACTGTTCAATCATTAGGTCATATCTAGAGTTGTAGATTTTTCATTTTAATTTGGTTTATATAGTTAGAAAGCTAAGATATAGGTCTAAAACAGTCATGAGGAGTCCAAGACTTAATTCTACTATTTGGAAATCCAATCTTAGCAACAATGAAAAAGTCAAAATCTCTTCTGCAGCCTAGACACTATTCAGTGTTCAGCTCATATCTCGAGTTTTAGAAGACTAAATGCATTGATTCTTTTTTTGTTGGAAAGCTGAGATAATTCTTAGAAATTTAATGGGGATAATCTATTCAAATTTTGACTTTACCAATGATGTTTTGTTCCTACAAGAAGATAAGAATTGTCATCAAGTCAAGATATGGCCACCCCTCAACAATTAGTTATCAAATCAATAGTTTCAAATTTGGAGCTGGTTTATATAGTTAGAAAGCTAAGATATAGGTCTAAAACAGTCATGAGGAGTCCAAGACTTAATTCTACTGTTTGGAAATTCAAATCTTAGCAACAATGAAAAAGTCAGAATCTCTTCTGCAGCCTAGACACTATTCAGTGTTCATCTCATATCTCGAGTTTTAGAAGACTAAATGCATTGATTCTTTTTTTGTTGGAAAGCTGAGATAATTCTTAGAAATTTAATAGGGATAATCTATTCAAATTTTGACTTTACCAATGATGTTTTGTTCATACAAGAAGATAAGGATTGTCATCAAGTCAAGATATGGCCACCCCTCAACAATTAGTTATCAAATCAATAGTTTCAAATTTGGAGCTATAAAAGAAATCATTTGTCGTGCATTTAAACATCATGGTTTTCAAATCAAGATCATGTTCCTCTCTTTTTTTATAGTGCTTAAGTTTTGATTTTATTAATATCTTGTTTATTCTTTTCATTTCATTTCCTTTTCTTTATTTATTTAACTTATATCTTATTTATTTTTTCTCTCTTTCATTATATTTAGCTGAATTTATTACATCAAGGTGAAAAGGTTACACTAATGATATAAAAATAAGTGTAGTATAAACTCAACATGGACTTTAATATTTGATACTAACATGTTTTGTATTTATTATCTTATTCACTCTTAATACTTTACTTATTAAATGGTTAATCTAGATTTATGTTGTATAACCCTTGATACAACAAATACTTGGCATTTTCATAGCCGAACTGTATGGTATAACCGATATTTATGTTATAAAAGGAACTTGATTTGTTGTTAATATAAGTTATAATAATAAATACCTAACAATATTTACAAGTATTAGCATTATTCAAATAAGATAACTAATATAATCATGTTAACAATTTATAATTTGATTGGAACTATTTTGTGTGTGGTTTTCAGTTGAGTAATAAAAAAAATTATATTATACTTGTTTGAAATATTATTAGTGGATCCTCTAATCTTAATAATTATTTTTATTATTGTTTAATCCTTACATCAATATCATATCTCTCTTCAACTTTTCTGTTATTCTCTATTTTTTTATTTGTAATTTATACAGTTAACCTCCATGTGATTCAACCCCGATCTTGTCAGGTTATTTATTATTTCAACACTCCTACACTTGAAAAAAAATGTCAATCTATTGGTTATATCACCTGCATAAAGAATGATGAAAAAAATAATAACACTCAAAGATCAATAATTTAATAGCAAAGGATACAATCAAATAAAAAAATCAATTTAAAATAAAACTAAGTCAACCCATATTAACTTGTAATCCAAGATATGAAATGAGAGTAACCCCATAAAAAAAAAGTTGAACAAATCACAAAACTCAAAACCTAATAAGTCAACGTCAAATCATAAAAAATAAAATAAAAATTACCTAACTCAAACCAGATAAATCATTTAAACTAGTAAACCGAGTCATGAAAATGAAGTTATTTTGTAAAAGACAAACTTGAAAAAATTACAAAATAAAATTCTCAATTATAAAACTTAAAAATAAAAACAATGAGGACTAAATCTTACATAAGAAATAATTGAAAAAAACTAATTAGGGATTAAATTAAAAAAAATAAAGAAAAGGATAAAAAATAAAGAAAAAAATGAGGATCAAAAATAAAATTCCAAAGGACAATCAAAAAAATAAAATAAATGCAAAATATAAAAAAAATAACAATAAAAAAAGGACTAGATTGGATAAAAAATAAATTAAATTAAAATATACAATGGAATAAAATTTTAAAAACTAAATTTGATGAAGCATTAAAATTAAAACCAACAAAAAAATATAACAACCGAACCCAAAACAAAACAAATAAAAAATAGAGAACACAACCATCATTTGCCATGTCGAATACACCACCTCAATAGCTGCTCAGATGAGACAACAATCCAATTTTGTGGCCATTGTAATTGTCCTCACATACCTCTACAATAGCACGGAAAACTCTTGACACGTTCGTGCCATACGGTAGCTTATTTTACTAATTTATTAATATTTTAATAAGAAAAATTACAAAATAAAAGACTAAAAGGTATATCATTATTACAAAATAACCATGGCACAATAACAAAAATACCCTCCAAAGCCATCTTTAAAATTTAAAGTCAAAGATTAAATATATAATTTTACTGTAAAAAAATACAAAGATAAATAAAAATATAAAAATAAATAAACTTACATGTCTTAGTTAAAGGATATAAGTATTATTTTATTATACAAATTAAAAGAAAATGACCAAAAAAACCCTTATAAAAAGATTATTCTTTTTTCAGATTTCAAGGGCCAAAAAGAATTTTCACTTAAAGTTGACCAATAAAATTATCCCTAATCGATCCACAAATGATATTCAAATCTTCTTAAAAAGATTATTTTACCCTTGATGCCCAGGTAATTATTAAGAGCAATAAAAAAAGCATAATAATCATTACATTGCTTTATTCTCCTCTAGAAACTTTTTTTTTTTTTTTTGTAATTGTTTAGGATTTACATATATTGACGTGTCCAATCCATTGACTAAAATACTAAATCAATAAAGTTGGTTTTATAAACCATTACAAGTCCTAGCTAGTTAACAAGTGCTAGTGCCCACGCTAAGCTGCGGGCTGCTGCTTTCACTACGAACATTTTTTTTTTTTTTTTTTTGGTGATGTGATGATTGTGCATCCTTGTAACACTCATGCGATTTCGATCTTTTGTTTGTCTTTTACTACCTAACAAAACTTTATAACTTTTCACCATCTTTTGTTTCAACTCTATAACTTCTTACCCATCTTCAAAAGTCGAGAAGTAGTTTAATGATATCAGATTCTCGACAATTATTTTTCAAGTCTTTATTTTATGAATCCCATGATCTGCACTGGCAATAATAAAAGAAAACCTCATCAAATTCAGAACACCATCACCACCAGACAGCAAAAGAATCAAAGAAATAAGACCTATTTATATGCAGTGAATGGAAATGCGTGCTAAACCGATCAAAAATTATATTCACAATCAAGTAGTTCAAAGTCGAAGGATTCTTCTTATGGCAAGCTTTCAAATATACAGAAACCATAAAAAATAAACCCCAATACATTGGCAAAATGCTAGCCAATTCTTAGATGATTGTATCATAATTTTTTACCTTGGATCATTTATTGAGCAAACCTTGAGTCAAAGGATGATTTATACATTTCTTAAGTAAAATACTAATGAAAATTGGAAAATATTGTTACCTATCACCATAGCAGAATTAAGCCAAGGTAGATCAATCATTATGTAAGAGAGAAATGATACCGGATCTAATTGCCAATTACATAATTTTTTGTGCCACCTGGAGTGGAATTCAAACAAAGATCACCTTATTTCCCAACAATAGGGAACTAAATTTTCCAACAAAAATTATTCAACAATTAAAATGTAACAAAATCAATTAGTAACGTATGGAACAATATAATATATTATATAAATCATAATTTCTATAAAAAAAAAAATTATAGTCATTTTTTTCAGAAGCTATCATTAGGTTCCATCAAAGGAATGGCTTGGATATTTTCTTGTCATCCATTATTGTTATTTTTTAAAGTTAAATAGGAGTAGCATTAGTGTTTAAACTCCTACTTTATTAGAGATATCAACAATAAAATTAATCAATGCATGGATATATAAAAAAGCTATTGTTAAATCAAGATGGGTCTGAAAGTGTAAATAGCTTTTCAAGGAGTTCCATAATCTAAGACGCCACTGATGTGCTTTATTGCCAAAGGGAAAAAAATATAATCAATGTTTTTTCATAGCACAGAAAAGATACCTTAATTAGTTGACTTGCCTAGTTGAACATATCCTGCTTCTTCCTCCTCCTTTTTCCTCCTGCTTGCAGCAACAATTCAACCAATATTTCAAGAGGCAAAGACACAAACATTTCAAACCTCATAATCAAAATGTGTGGCTATAAAATTTTGCCAGAAATTGTCATTGAGAAGAAATAAAACAAAAGCAAAAGCAAATAAGGAGGATAAGAAAATGAAAGGAATAAATAATTAAACATAGTGTGAATAAGGTTTCAACATGAAAAAAATGGTGATTTAGTTTTTGGATTGTTTCCATATATCTGAAGAACTACATGCATGAAGCTTTCATGAGTTAGCACCAAAGGAGTATGCTTAAAAAAAAACACATAATTAGAGATATATTTAATAAATTTCAATTACGATTTGCTCATCAAGAAGATAAAAAAAGAGCTGAAATATCAATCTTTTTTCGATCAAGATATTCAAATATCATGGTATTTCTTTTCTTGCATTACTATGGTACTAACTAGCTTGACAGAAAAATAAAAGGTATAACTTATATGCACTAAATTGTTTCATAGGCTTGGTAATGATAACTCACAATATCATTGCACTTTTGAGAGAATAAGCTACAAAGCTTAGTACCCGTTGTTTGTTAATAAATGCAAGTAAATTGTGTCAAGAGCCCAAATTCTTGATCTTTTACTGCTGAAATATACTAGAGAAGAAAGAGAGGAGATGACATGTAAGAGTTATGCATTTCCTATCCTACAGGGAGTTCATTCTATTTTTGCCTTCCAAGTCAAAAACTTATTTTATACTCTTGGATTTCATTTATAGACATTGAAGGATTAACTGCTATCAAAAACCATCATGGTAACAAAAGCAAATTCAGCAATTCTAAATGCCAAATTATTTTTTTAATATAATTATCTTTTGACCCCATCGAAGTTGTTCAAAAAAATCTCTAGCGACTAAATATAATAAAGTAATAAACAACAACAATCATGAAATCTTATAATCTTATAAATCTTGAAAAAAAAATTATAATTTTTTTCAAATTGCTTCACAAAGGGAAAATGGAATCATGAAATCAAGCAAGGGACCAACTTGCTGCAATGACATCAAATTTACTCCTCTTTTTTTTTTTTTGGTTCCAATCAATAACTTGTGCCTTCAAATCCCAAATCAATTTAGAGCAACTGCTTTTCAATCATTAAAATATAATAAATCAGAAAGACATATCAAAGTAATACATACAAATCATGGTTTATAAATAAAATGTAGAATGCATCAAAGACAACCTTCATTTCTTAACCAAATTTAAAACACAACAACAATAGAACACCATAATAGCAACACCATTGCAACACTTTCAATGAATTACTCACCATACCTCAAAGACCTGATTTCTCCCCATACATAAAAACCAATTTCGTTGCTGCAATCCTATTGAGCAACAAGTTCACTATCAAAATCTCTATTACCAGCACAAAATCATTTAAACAAATTAGTGCAACATTTTATATTATTTTCAAGAACACACCAAATCTTAGTTTTCCTTTTCTTATTTGTCTCGTCAATAAAATATAAATCAAACTAAATAAGGCTAAAGCATTTACAATAATACATATCCTGGATTTCTAACTTGAGCAACAAAATTTCCAAACAGTACAGTGTAATTTAAAAATCCAACACATACCAACTTCAATCTATAACAAATTATACAAAACCCATATGAAAATTCTTGAATTTATAAACCCTTAATTCTTTATTAATCTCTCTAGATCCTAATTTGCATTCACTTTCCCTGGAAAAGAGCATAATCATGGTTGTTACTTCAATTAGATTCAAGCCCACCATACATATTTAAAAATATCATCTCCAATGACATGCATACTATAAATTTTCAAGCAATAACTCATCCAGATCCAAAGCCTGTCAAAAAACAAACTTTTAGTGACCCTAAAATTAGCGGGGAAAAACCCAATTCTTGTTGAGCTAGCTAGCAAGTATTTTTTGCTCAGTAATATTTTCAAGCAAATTATAACAACAACAACAACACCAGCAGAACCTACTATCGAAACCCAATTCAGAAAGCCATCAAATTTGTTAGGGACATATGGTGATAAAGCTCCAATTTCCTTGTCCGGTCAAATTTCATAGCTTTCAAGAACCTGAAGGACACATATAGATTGATTATTTTAGTCCTAACTAATTGGATAAATTATTTATTAATTCTCAATCTTTATACAACTGCTATAAATTCTAAAATATATATAGAGTTTTGTCTTTTCCTTGACACTCTTATGCCATTGCATTTTTCTAAAGCACTCCACTCTTTAGTAAATATTTATTTTTGCTTCAAAGCTATGATTGAAATTGAGATAGTACTGGGTATTCTTTAGCAACAAACAATGTGTACAAATAAATATATGGACACCCACATGTCATTTCCAACGAAGAAAAAAAAAACTATAGCACTCCAAGGATGCAACGTGTGCTACCTTTATTTGGTAAATAAGGATGAATAGATTGGCTTTTACCTCGATAGCCATAAAGTCCTTGGTATGGCTCTGACCGCCAGCATATTATGTAGGAGAGTTGGATACAAAATAAGCAACTGGTGACTGCTAGCAAAAAGAATGTGCAAGCAATAATTAAAAGAAGAAGAAAGCAATAGATAGGGAACAAAGTTTAAGAAAAACAAAATAATTAGCTCATCTAGAACCGGACATCCATGCGCATCAAATTGGAATCAGGAAGAGACAAAGAAAAACCTCCGAAAGGATTCTATTTTTTTCTTAACTTATTTTCTTCTATGCTACCATGTCCGTGGAAGACCTAACCACATATCTGTTACTTCTACATAGACAAACAAAAAAAGCCAGATACTTATCCCTGAAAGTACTTGGAAAATCTAGAGTGGTTGGAGCTTTTGTTGCAGAGTTGTGATTCCCATTTCAAGCCTCTTTAGCCGTTCTTGTTCAAATTCTAAAAAATCAAGAAATTAAAAGAAAAACTCAATCCACATCAATTTCATAAGCAACCCCCAAAAACAAAGAAAATATTGGATGTTCATAAAATTGATATTTAACCCACAAATTAAAAACACAAAAACCCTAAATCAAACAACCCAAAAACATCAATTCGGGGAAAAAAATTAAATTACCTGAGAGTGTACAGAGTTGTCGTTATGAATGGAAGAAAAGAGAGAAAACTTGTTTGATTCCAATCAAAAGACTCATTGCCTACCCGCTGGTGTGGGGGGTTTTTTATCTTATGAATGGAAAAACGACCAGACTGAAAAGACTATACCCACGTTTTAATTTTCTTGGGTATCAAGAATAAATATGTCTTTTCACCGTATATTCTAAAAATGAAAAAACCTAAACACTAACCCTGGTCACCAATGGTAAAGGAATCGTTTAACTGTTCACAAAATCATTAGCATATATTTTTTTATGTTTAAAAAAAAAAATTTATTTTTTTAAATTAAATATATTTTAATATTTTTAAATTATTTTGATATTTTAATATTAAAAATAATTTTTTAAAAATTAACAAATATTATTTTGATGTATTTTAATTTATTCTAAATATTCATTTTAAAAATAAAAAAAAAAAATTATTTTGATGCATTTTAATTTATTCTAAATACTCATATAGAAAAAACAACAAATAACCCTAAATTGAAGGTAAAATTTAAAGAAAAAACCATGAAAAAATTTATTAATTTAAAAGAAAAAAAAGTTAAATATTTTAGAGTCTGCCAAACCAAGCTAGCTCATCTAACCTACTTTGAGCCTTTAATTTTTTTTGTTTGCAATTAGGGCGAGTGGGCTCTGAATTTCTTTGAAAAACCTCGATTTTGGTTATTGTGGTGACTAAAAAATTAAAGTTTAATTTTTTTTATAAAAACCTATTTTGTAATCGTATTTTATCCTAAACACTTATAAGATACCGTAAAAACTGTAATAAATTTATTTATAGCCTTAAAAACTCACCTCAAAAATCAAAATCAACCTAAATTTAAAAATTAACCCGAGTTCAAATCCCTTTTTTCACGAACTTTAAAGGTATAAAAACACCTAATATGAACTCACCTCATCAAATAAAATCATTTAACACAAATCGATATCAATAACACTTTTTTTCTTCAACACTGGAATTCGGTGATCTTTCTCACTCTTCTTTTAACTAAGAACTAAAAAATAATAAAAATAAATTTTTGTATCAAAATTAAATTGAAAAAATACTAAATTACTGAGATTATATAATTTGCATGATTTTTAAAATTTAAGAATCAATATGCATTTTTTTATAAAACTTATGGCATGTCACTCATCTTTAATGTATTTTTCATTTCATTCCTCTTTCTTTAATCTTATGTTTTTATAAAAAAAAATTAAAAATAATTTAATACTCAAATTTTAAAAAATTAAAATTGTATAGCTCATCCACAATAATATATAAAAAAATAAATAATAAATTTTTTTATACTAAAATACCCATACTTTATAGGGTAATACTTAATAGTAAATTTCTGAAAATGCCCCAATTTGAAATTACCAATAAAGAAATTCCAATTTCCAAATAAGGAATAAAAAAGGGTTCAAAACCCTAATATTCATAAATAATAATAATCAATCACTTTGCTCTCTATCTCTCGTCTAGGGTTACCGTTGAGATATCATCATCACTTTCGCTTGGCTCAATCAATCGATGTAATGAAGCGAGAGCGAGATCACCAGTTCGAATGCGGAATATGTGGAGCAGAAGACCGGTATCTCCTCCACAACGTCCGCCACCGTACCCCATCCTACCGCCGCCTTTGCACGAACTGTCTCTTAAAAGACCACCGTGGTCTCTTCTGCCCTTTCTGCTTCAGTGTGTATGAAGAACCACTCCCAATTGATCGATCCATGTGTAACAAATGCCCTTCCATCTCTCACAAGCCTTGCATCCCTTCCAATTACCCTCACCACACTCCCTTCATCTGCCCCTCTTGCTCCTCCCCCAATTTCTCCTTCTTTAACCCTGCTACAAACGGAGATTCTCCTTCCGGCAGGATCATCGATAGAGATTCCGCCAGAGCGCTTGTTGCTGCCGCCAAGATTGCTGCCGTTTCCATGACGAAAGCAGCGGCGATGGCCAAGGTTGAAGCTGAGAAAAGGGTTAAGGAAGCTACATATGCAAAGAAGAGAGCTAGAGAAGCGCTTGAAAGGCTTGCTTATTTGGCTGCCAAAGAGAAAGAGATTATGGAGGGAAAAGGAGGAGGAAGTAATTATAATGGGCTTTATCTAGCTCCTCCTCCTCAGATTACAGGGAAAATGGAGAAATGATGATGATTTTACTTCTAAATAGGGTAAACTAGCGCTGCTGCTACTACTGCTTTCCTTGTCTTCTCTCTTTTGGTTTTGGATTCTTGGTTATGATGGATGATGTTGCTATTGTTGTTAGAGATGATTTTCATTTTGTTTAGTTTTTGGACAAATTTCTGTCTCTTTTTCACTCTGAGTTTCTATCATCATCTTGAATAACTTTTTACTTGTATATTTTGGTGTATAACTCACTAACTACATATATCCTTTCATCTTATCAATCATTTTGCAAGTTAAATTTCTTTCTTTCTTTCTTATGCATCTTGAAAAGGTATTAATTGATTTTTTTTATCTCCCAAGCTACTAACTCAATTAAAAAAAGGAATTAGCACAGGCAATTCTGGGATTGGGACTTTATTGTGAAGTATGCCATGAAATTGTAAGTTGGAGCTGCTGAGTCTTTATGGAGTTGATTGAGAGTTGGAGTCGTAGCTGCTGAGTTTTTATGCAATTGATTGAGTTTTGGTAGGGGCACTCTAAAGTAGAGGAAGCTAAATAACAATTTATTGTGACTATAAGTGAGTGAATTATTACATCTTCCCATCTTGGTTTGATTGAATATGGAAATGCAACTGTCTGTCTTCTTCTCCACCTGCCTTGCCTTCCTTCATTTGTTTTCGTTGTGATTCCTTCGTTTCTGGTTTCTTTATGCGTTTCAGTTCACCTGTTTTTTTTATTGCTTAGAATAATGCCAAATGAAACTTTGGAGTTTTAACAAAAAACTTTACGCGCTGGCTATGCTATTATTAATTTATCTTCTGGCTAAAATCAGTTAAAGTGGGGTGGTGCTGCTTCGGTTGATGGCAAATCTGCTGATATTATCTATTTCAACATATTGCTGCTTGGAATCTGTTCTGTTATTACAGATTGCCTTCAAAGTTGGAAACGGGAGGACATTATCATCATCTTTATCGGAGGTGTTTTATGGCTTGCAGTTACAGTGAATACTAGTACACCAACAAGGATAATTAAGAATCCTCTCACAACAACATTACCTGGTTTCGTCTTGCTTCCTCTTCTTCTTCTTCTTCTTCTTTCTCTTTTCCCTCAACTCAAGTTTTACTTGTTCTGATGAATGATGGATTTGTGAATTCCCATAGAGGGAAAGGATAAATAAGGAGAGACTAAAACCAAATAACATGAAGCTCCATTTTCTACAGACAAGGGTGTCTTAAATTAGGAAGATTGTATTTTTTTTTTTTTCCAGCAGGATTGCATAAGTATGTTCCATTGTAGGTGCTGTATCTCTGGTTTACAAGCAAAATTATCTGCTAAAGGATGAGATTTTTTGAGAGGAAATGATGGCTGCTAGCGAGTTAATTTTGCAGTCCTGCAAGCAATATTCACTTAAACGAGTTCGTACTTTGTGAATAGTCGAGAGCCAATGTTGAAATCTACCTCCTAATTAAATATGGCATTCTAAGAAGCCATCAGTTTGCACCGCCAAGTATGCTTTACAAACGTTAATGTTGTTGATGCTAATCGGATGCTCGAAGTCCCAAGTCCACATAGATTAATCTGAGTTCTAATTAATCACTGATTTATCCCATTTCATAGTTTAACTTGTATATTTGCGGATGGTATTAGGGGTTGCACTTGATTCCACAGCCGATAATTTAGTAGACATTGAACAAAATATATACGCCTAATTAGCTAGCTTAATAATTGTTATTGTAGAGTTGGGTAGCTAGCTAGCTTTTTAAGTGTTATACGGTGCCCATCCCAAGTTACTTGATTTTGAGGGACCGTAAAAGAGAACGGAAAAGTCTTTCCTTTTTTGGTACCTGAATTCGAATAACCAATATACATATTATTTTTTTCGTTCTTTCTTTTTTCGGACCAATTTACACTTGAATAGAAAAGGACTAAACTTTATTATATTATATTATAATTATATATAAAATAAAACTAAAAGTGTCCGGTGGGTGCATTGTGGCCTATGAGGCAATGCTTCGTGGATTACAAAGGCAAAATCAAAATGAATTTTACCTTCACAACAAAGGATAAAATGGTTTTTTTCATCAGGTTTATATATTATTATTATATTGATGGAGAAGAAATTGTTCTTTTTATATTTTTAATGAATGAAATGATTTAAATATTTAAAAAAAAAACTTAGTCTTGGAAGCTTTTATGATAGTGAGTAGGGGGCACATACATTCTTTGTATAGCATATGCGCCATCTCTGGGAGGGTGTGCATGAAGCATCACATTTTCTTGATTTGTTTTATTTTTTAATTTTATTTTATTTTATTTAATTTAATTTTTATATCAAATTTAATCTTTTTTTTATTACTATCTATTATGTATTTTATTTTTATATCAAATTTAATTTTTTTTTATTACTATCTATTATATTATTTTAATTTTAGATGATTTAGGATTTTGTTTCGTGAATTTTTCAGATTTGCCTATTATAGGGTAACTTGGTATTATAATCTGCTATAGGTTTCGAAAGTTAGCCTGATTTGACTTCTAGTTTTTATGGGTTCTCTTTTTAAAATTGATTTTTTATTTATTTTTATCCTTTGATATTAAGTTATTGGACCTTCAACTTTGTGATTTTTGCTGATTTTGTTTTATAGGGTTATTATAAAACAAGTTCACTCAAGTTGATCACGAGTTAGTTGAGTTAACTCAAGTTGATTCAGGTTTTTTTATGTTTTAATTGATTTTTTCCCTTATTTACCTTTCATTATTTTATTTAATTTCTTTTGTATAAGGTTATCTTGACCTCACAACCAGACAACGAATTTGACATGATAACTCGAGTCAAGTTTTTTTATTTTAAAAGTAATTGTTTTCTCAATCTTTCCTTCACCATTTGATTTATTGGTAATTGAGTTTCAGGTTCTTTTTATTTTTTTCTTTATGAGATTATTTTATTCTTATTTATTTTTTGTCTTAATATCAAATAAGATCATTAAGATATTTTAAGAATATATGGATGATATATTTTCATAATATTGACAAAGTTTTTTTATTTGTCATTTTCATTTTTTATTGCTTATGAATTTTTATAATCATATTATTAAATCAACTGAGCTTATTAAACTCATTTGAATCAATGACCGAAATCCTAATTTTCCTTATTGCTTTAAAAATGTTGTTATTGTTTAGGTATCCTTTTTTTACATTAGAATAAAATTAAAAAATTATAAAAATAAATATTTGTAAAAAGAGACAATGAATAAAATTATTGAGGAGAAATGTATTTCTTTGACCTAAACATTGTCATTGCTTGGGCATAATTTTTTTTACATTAGAATAAAAATAAACATCTATAAAAAAAGACAAAATAAATTTATTGAGGAAAAATGTGTTTCACCTAAATTCTATTTTCTTAGTAATAAATCTCTTGATTGTTTGAATTAAAACATGTTTTTTTATTTATTGTAAACATATTTTTTAAAAAATAAAAACCTATCATGATCTTAAAGGTAAGTTTTGATGTGAACCTAAAAGGTAAAAACCCTAGAACTCACAATCAAGATAAAAAAACAACCTAATAAAACTGAAAAAATAGTTGAAAAAAACTTGACCTAGTGATTACCTAAACCAAAAAATCATAGTTGTTGGATGAAAGGCCACAACTCACTAATTATAGGGGGAAAAAAATCAAGAATTAGAAGTGTAAGGATGGATGCCTCAAATCTTTGATAAGGTCTGAAGAGTTCGATGAAGAATGAGAAGTATGAATAACCTTGCCACACACACACACAATATTATTTTTGAATAATAAGCAATCTCTAACACAAGCTAAATAAATCTATTTATAGTTGTTAAAATGTCTTAAAAAGAATGGAAATTAACAAAAGAGTTACAAGAAAAATAGAAAAATATATCATAAATTAATTAGAAATTTTTTGCAAATCTTGAATAGTAACTTCTAAGCTTTATCATAAGGTCTTCTTAATGTCTTATTTAGATGAAATTTTACCTTTATAAGAAATAAGAACTTAAGAATCTTTTGGACAATTTTTAGCTCGATTCATCATTCAAATTAAAAGTTATACTCATTAACATAAAATTGTTGTTTTTTTAGTCCAAATTATAGCAACAACGAAGAAGTTCGAATATATCCTGCAGTTCCGACACTGTTTAGCCTATATCTTGAGTTCTAAAAGTCCAAATGACCTTCATGTTTTTCTAGAAAGCTGAGACAATTTTTTACAACTTTCATATAGAGGTCTGGTTCAAATTCGAACGTTATCAATGACGGTTTGGGTAGACAAAAGAAGATAAGGATTGTTACCCAGTCAAGAGTTGGCCACCCATTCATCAATTAGTCATCAAATTAATAATTCTCAATTTTGGCCTATAAAAGAAGGCATTTGCCATGTATTTAGACATCTTGGTTTCCAAATCAAGATCATGTTCTTGCTTTCTCTCTTTGTATTTTTGTAATGCTTAAGTTTTTCTTTCTTTAATATTAAGTTTATGCCTTTCATTTCCTTTCCTTTACTTAATTAACTTTTATCTTATTTATGTTTTTATTTTATTTATTTATGTTTCTCTCTTTTATTATGTTCAGCTAAGTTTATTATGTCAAGGTGAAAAGGTTACACTAATGGTGTAAGAATAAGTATATTATATTGTTTGACATATCATTAGTGGATCCTCTAACCTTAACATTTGTTGTTATCATTATTTAATTATTTTGTTAATCTTCCATCTCAAAACTCTCATCAACTTCTTCTTCTTCTTCTTCTTCTTCTTCTTTACTACTACTACTAGTACTACTATTGTTACTATTGTTGTTGTATTATTGTGGTTCGATCTAAGTCTTGCCGGGTTATTTATTACTTCAACACTTTTGCACTTGGGAAAAGACATTAATCTTTTGGTCATGTCAAGTTTTTGACGTCGTTTCTGAGGAGGTAAGTTCTTATTCAAATTATAGTATTTATTTTATTTTCTCTTTTCTCTTTTCTTATATGTAATTGATTAGTACTTAAAAGTGCATTTTTATCAAGGTTTTATATCATCATTTTGCACTTGAAGTATCTATAACTCTTTAACTAGAGCATATTTTATAATAACAAGTTTGATAATATAAAACATTTAATTTATGGTAAATGCTCATTTTAAATACAGGTATTCTCATAATTTAAAGGATTGATTGTTGTGATTAACTATT